ATGATAAATATCATAAAGCCTGCCATTTGAAATATATATATTGATAGTTATCATTAGTCCTTTGGTTGACTTCAGGCTTCACAGAGAGGAGGAGGGACATCAAAGAGACAAAAAGTCGAGAAGGGGAACAGATGAGTGATTCACAGTTGTAAAAGAGGCAGACAGACAGACACAAAGGCATAAAAATGTAAGATGAGTACTGTGTAAGGGGTCGAATATGACAAATAGTCGGGCCATAGTAGTTTGAAATCAGAAGAAAACTACCGACCAATAGACTTTTTTGCCGTTTAAGTATACGTTGCCCAGGGTGCACCTCGTAGAGGTAAGTCTATTGCGCACCCCAACACAAAATATGTCAATTTCAATTATGAGCAAATTATTGCTCAAACTCAGTATTTCTCCAAATATAGGAAATCGAATTTCTTAACCAACATATTTCTCCCTCTTGGATGAATATAATTGTCTAGGCATCTAGGCTTTTGAATTATCTGTATACCAAGTCCTTCGAATCAGCACTGCCTATTTCCAAATTTAACTAACTCACCACGTGCGAAAAGCTCTAATTTTCGTACACAATTTTGCAGTCTCTATGCTGAAATCAACTGAGGGAAAAACTAAGATAAACCAGAAATTCAAATGAAGTGGAAGCACTTTTGCTGATTCCTTTAACCCCTTGACGTCTTTCAAAACCGTACGGTCCTCTTTCAAAGTAATCCTCATTGGTAGTAGACTCGTATCACAAGGCGTTATTGCCATTTGAAACACACTCAACAAGTCTATGACCTTCACCTGATACCGCCAAAACTCATCACATCGGCGGTATCAGTTCGCTGTGCTGTTGGGTGCATTTGTCAAAAACATAATTCAGGCGCTAAAGGGCTAACTTGACTCTCCATTCTTCACCTACTGTTGGGATAATTGGCTATTTCTCCGGAATAGGAAATTTCAATCTATTTGCCTTGGCACAGATAATTATACGTCAAGGGACTTATTATGTAATGACCCTAATTAAAATTAGCACATATTCGAGCAGCTGGTGCAATTATTTGAGAATTACAAAATAATCCTCGAAACGAGGCTTAACTTCAACTTTATGGGGTGTGTGATAGACTTACCTCCACGTGGTGCACCCCGGGCAACGTATACTCATACGGCAAAAGTCTATTACCTGGCAGTTGACTTCTGACTTCAAGCTATCATGACCCCACTGTATGTCATATTCGACTACTTTCACAGTACTCATCCCACCTTTTTTCCACCTTATCTACTTCCGTCTTTGATACACTCTACTGTTCCTCCCCCCCCCCTCTTGAATTTTTTACACTTTGATGTTCCTTCCTCTCTGTGAAGACTGAAGTCAACTAAAGGGATAATGATAACAATCAAAACGCCTGCCATTTGATATAATAATAATAACTTCAACTTTATTTCGTCGTTTAGATTCGCTCTTCTCCACCGGCTTTGGTCCAGCTGAAGCAAGATCTAAACCCAGTTCCCTGAGATGAAGGTAGAAGACTAGGAATTTATTTGATGCAGGAAACAGTTCGTGGAAATTACAAGTCACCAGCAAGCGTTTCTCGAAGACGCACACAGAAAGAGAAAATAAGAGCGCATTAATATCACGAGATAAGTTGGCAAATGACCACAATTAATAGTGACTATAATAAAAGAATTTATTTTATAATCCTATAGTAGTGGCAACAATAGTAATAATCATGAATGGAAAAAAGCTATGAGATATCGTTCAGGTAAATAATTGATTATACGGCCAACAATGAATCACTTCAATGGCAGAGTTTACATTTGTGTTTTCAAAAATCCTCCTTATCTTGTACCGAACATTCCACTTCGATTGGTGGTTACAAGGTCCCTAAATAAGAGAAATAAATCATCCGGATTACAAACAGCCAGTTGAATATTGAATTTAAATAATTCTTCATACTCGAATCGTTTCAGTATATACTTCAGTCCTTCGTAAACTCCAGATCCAAAAGCGGCCTTGGATTCAACAGAAGTTCTTCGTATCGCATCCTTGGGCAGTTTTTCCCGCAAATTTTCACCAGCGTATATATAGATCTGTAGTGCAACATGAGTATTTTAGTCAGTTTTACCAAACCGTTGCCATTATTTGAGAAGAAAATGCAGACAAACTTACGACGCCATCGTTCTTTGAGTAGAAAATAACAATTTTATCGGATTCTGATTCGCAAGTGGTTGGAAGTCTCCAGGATTCAAATAGGTAATAGGTAAAAATAGCAGCATAGTCGATGACGTTTTTATCGGTTTGTTCATCAGCTCGTCTAGAAAAAGAGGTAATAATAAAAGTCTCCTTGATACAAATGAAATTAACAACTGACTAGTAAAACAGGCTAGCGATGATGTTGTTATGTTTACTTCTCCATATGAAGACTGTTTAGCTCGTTAGTGCCAAGTAAACTACGCCAAGTTTTGGCACACGTTCAATATAAGATCCGAAATTTGTCGATTGCCATTCCATAATACTTCACGAGTTTCGGAGGCAATTTGCACATCCAATTTGCCAGAAGTCGTGGGAGGATAACTCCTCATTTCAAACCCGAATTCTCGTCTTAATTACTAAGAATGGGGGGGGGGGAAGGGCACTACCTAGCACTCGATTACATTGGAACTGGGTTCTGGTTGTCTTGAAGGGGAAGATGTAACAAAGCGTCTAAGTGCCTTTTAACGTAAGCTCTGACCGACTTAAATGCCCCCTTCACATCAGGCGAATTCCAAAGGCAAGGAGTCCTTCAGTGTGTTAGTCAGCCATCCCCACTGATTGCAATACTGAAATCAATACACAATTGCTATTTTGGCCACTAAAATAGGTCGTTTATTCTCTATTGAACAGTTGCATTCAATATTAATTGTGATAAATGGTTGCATTTTCAAATAGTACGATAAATGTCAAAAACTTCTATAATAAATGGAAATAAACACTGCAATTTTGTAAGAAGGAAACATTTCCGAGGAGATGTGCGTATGAACCTTTCTTTTTTAGGTTTATAAACTTAGCGTAGGGACATTTTTTCACACAAAAACTCTTGGAGGATAAAATGTCTTGCAGGCTAAAAATCAAGCAAAGGAACATATTCGAGAAAGTTTATATAAATACACTAATTTTGTATAAAAATCAGACATACACATATTTTATTCGAAACGAGCAGTATTATAGAGTTTAAACTTTATTTCAGATTAAAATTAACGAATTAATTGCAAAATCAAAGGATGCTTAATTAAATAAAAAGCACGAGAATAATCTATAAATCAATTCTCTAGAGTTGGAGAAATGAATTCAAAGCGTTAAAAAGCTTATGAAAATGGTTTTTCTGTCTAAAGTGAAACTAATGTGCATTCAAACGAATTTTCGCAAATATGAACAAGATGCGAAATTCGCTTGACATCTTCAAAACTCCGCAATCGATGAAGATCGCATTATAGAGGTAAAGGCTGTGTTATGGTAGATATTTATTTAAACTCCGAATCCCTACCCCTCAAACAGCGTAACTGGAGATTGAAGCTGCTCTCAGGTGGTCTGCTGCGTATTTGGAAATTCCCTGCACTTTAAAACGAACCTAATTTTAATTTTTAATAATTAAAAGTGCTTAAAACAGTGATTTTCCTAATGCTAAGCGCGCATCTTAAGCTTTTATACTGACCAATTCCAACTTTAAATATGGAAGCACAAAAATCATCCGATTCTTCAAACCTTCTTTGTGAGAAATCAGAGAATCAGAATATATTTATTTATTTCAAACGGCAGGCGTTTTGAAAGTTATCATTAGCCATTTAGCTAATGATGAAATCAAATTGACATATCTTGTGGCAGTCACCCAATCACCTCTCAAATATTTCAAGCTTTGTAGATAAACAACAACTGCGGCATAAATTAGTTGGAAACCATTTTTTCAAGCCTAATTTTTTTTATAATTTCCACGTTTGTCATGAGTTGATTAATGTACTATTGCAATCTAAACATCCCACTACTTGTTTGTTCTTTTAATATGAACATTAAGTTCAAAAGATCAAATTAATATTTTGAAATATTAAACCACTATTAGTAGCTATGTAATTGGTAATTAATTATTTGATTAAATGCATTTAATAAGAAAATTAGCACGTGATTAAAATTAATATAACCCAAAAAGGTAACACCCAATCACTTAACTATGAATCCTATCATTTGGTGGATTTTGAAAATGTTTATTATGTTAAAAAAGTATTTTTGATAATAATATCATTAATTAAACATAAATTTTGCAATTGTTTGGGTCAAAATAGATTCTACCTGCAAACCATTTAAAACTGAAAATGAATTATCATGACACGCTACGATTAAATGCCGAAAACAGATCTTGCAAAGGAGGACATGAGTATGATCCGCGCAATGTCAGAAATTTAACAATATTTTGTAAAGACATGTCTGCCGAAATTGAGTAAACAACCACTCACTTTAGTCCCCTATAAAATTTCACTTAATCCGTTTGAAACTGTTAATGATGGCTCTGTGCAGATCAGACTGTCGGATGAATAAGGAATTTTCTTAAACGATATATCTGATCAGCTATATATATTTGTCATTTTTTATCTATTCTAGTTCCATATGTATGCTACCAAGGTCTTTTATTCCTGTTAAGCTTCGCGTAATGGTTAATTTATAAGCCAAAAATCACTCCCACCTTCCTAAATGACAATATAAGTAGTATACACTTACCCAAAGCGAATACTGTCCACCAAGGCAACGGCAATAGTGGGACGAGGATAGCTGCGATCACATTTGGCTCGATCACTATTGATTGATTCCTGCATCTTTAGTAACAGGCGGTTGAGAGAACCCACTACCATGGTGAAATAAATTTTGTTACTCAATGTGGCATTCTATTCCCTTTAGAGCAAGTACCTAGTGATTTGCAGTCAAAATTTTATCCGAAATCAATCATATATTTTTTTTTCTTGCGGTGTCCTACCGGGTCAAATGATGACCCATTCAACCAATTGCCACATCCTCGTAATCCGTGTACTGTCGCACTACTACCTACCCACGTGCATAATCTCGGGTTAATTTCGGTAAAAAGTTGTGAACCGAGTTTATGCTTGGCGCCCAATTTAGGGCCAAGAAATAATACTTCACTTTAATGACGTACATTTTCACCATTTACTGGATGCGTTTACAAAATCACTGTGCTTTTGTTTATTTTATTCACGATTTTGTGAATAAATTGAACCTGATCCTGAGACGAATTGTGCCAATAGAAGTAACCACTAATGAAATGAATAATATGAATATTTTCAATGACATTTTAAATTAACTTTGCATAGACGAAGATGCTATTTTAATTAAAGTCCGCTAAATGCTCTTTAGACGCCTAAAGCAAGCAGCAATATGAGGAACATCCACAGGGTTTAATTATTGGGTGCATTTGAAATAAGGAGAAGACTAAGCGTGTTCAATTTGAGGGAGGCATTGCTGTCAAGACATCATGAGTTTTCATCAGGTGAATTTTGAAGACGGCAATCTTTTCATAATATAGAAGTAGGAAAGTCCACTACATAAAGTGAAAGCGTTTTACCTCTAGGAGCATGGAAACTATAATCCATGATAGGCGTTTGACTTGGAGTTATAGGTCAATCAGATCTGAAGGATTAACTGTAAGCCATTAGGCCAAGACGTTATCGAAGATTACAAGTTCGAATAACCCGACCAATAAATATTTCAAGTGAAAATGGACTTTTTGTCCCCTAGTGGTGTGACTACTTTAAGTAATTCTAGTAAAAAGGTTAGATTGTACCAATCCTCTGTTTAATCAGAGTTACTTCCCATCAATGTCTCCCACTTGGAGGAAATGTACATTGACCTTGATTTTGGCTATTCTAAAGTTCCTCGTGTTAATATGCGCCTCTATCGATTCAATTTAAAGGTAGCTTTGTTTTTTCGTGGATAATTTTTGCACCAAAGTCCATTTCACTTGTCACTAATTCAGCTAAAGCAGTTCAAAAAGAGGAAATTACTTTGAATAAGTAAAAATCTCAAATTTAAAACTGATTTCAACCCTCAAGTTGAGGTTTTGGAACAATGTAACTGTTTACTATGGAACTGTTTATAGGTGCTAATGGAGTGGTCAGTTTTCGTGGTACAGAAACGAAGGTCACTAAAGCGCACTTCTACCATTACTCTTTTCTACAACTTCGTCCAAATCTACAACACCATTTTACTTTGCATTTTCATGAGACTATCACCCAAAACGCTAACATCTTTCAGACTTAGCATACTTAAATATGTTTATCAGAGCTTTGTCGTCAAAAAAAATAGACGCCCAAAACATATGAACGGCAATAAGTCATGGAATTTGTTTATGCAGCCGGTTTTGGCCATCACCATTAACAAGTGAGAATTCGTTCTAAAAATTTAAATTCACAGCCTGAATTTTCTCACAGAGTTTGCCAAAACAGGCATTAGGATTTCCGCTAAAATGAAATTTTGAAGATGCTTCAATTTCCAGAATTGTGAGACCCTAAAGATGAGGTTTGGTGTGCCATTTTTCCAACTTTTGCTAAAATTACATGAACTTGTACTATGTTTAGCCTTTCGATGTTAACCTTTGAATGGAGGTTAGAACTCGAATTCAGGCAATTCAATGCTTTTAAAGGATTGGAGGTAATTTTCTGACTGAATTAAAATTTTAATAAGTGTGTTACTTTGTACCTACATGGCTTTATTCATATCAATTATATTTGCATAAAAATGTTTATTAGTAGACAACGATATCTCCGTCGTATTTGATCTTTACAAGAAAATACTTCATGGTTGAACAAAATTTGGTCCATTGTTCTTCGCGTAAATATGGAATTCTGAAGTTACCATTAATAATTGTTCAAATTCGTGAAAAATTTGACATAAATTTAAAAATTAACCTCCGATTTCACAAATTATTTGAAAATATGATATTCAATCCTTATCAGGTTCAAAAAGATCACATTAATCATTTTGTAACAAATCAGAGTACAACGGTAATCAACGAAATAAATTAATCATGGAACCAAGAACCCTTAGGCACTTACATTGATCAGCACTGAGGACTTCGTTGGGATCACAAATAAGAACATTCTGTGTGGAACTTCCACTGCTACCACTTCTACCGGGCATGCATCGGCTTTTTTGAGTAACAATATTTGGATAAGTTGTGACTTGGCTAATGAAACTGGTGCTGTAGTGATAGGCTTCAGAACCACTCAGTAAGCCAATAATGGCCAAGAGAAGTCCAAGCTTTGAGATCATCATGATGAAGAAGTTTGGTTTGGACGGTGACTACGCAAAACGGTAGCGAATTTTAAATGTACTGCTGTATACTTGCGTACTTGTTATAAATCCACTAGAGCCGTTTTCTCATTGGATGCCACGTTGGCCAATCAAATGTGTAAAAATTCGGACTCGTTTTCGGAATTGTTTTCTTTTGCTTTTTTTATAAATAAAAACTAACACGACTTACTTTTCGAAATTTTCTTCTTAAAAATACATGCATATCATGGAATAAGTATTTTATAACACCCACGATAATGATAAATGGTATTGGAAAACATCTGTGTTGACGTTAAAGCCCACCCTCATTATTTGCATCTGCAAGATATACCAAAATTATGTCAAAATATATCATTCCCGTAACAAGAAAAGATATATTAAATTGTTCAGATTTATTGGCCAAAATAAACATTTCGTAAAATCGAGTCTAAAGACCCCAATAAAGTGATTTCTCCTATCGCAAAGGAAGGAGAAAAAACTTTTTCATTGGGGACAAAAAAATCATTGGTCTACATGCAGTGGGTTTCTGCAAAGTTTATAAGACTTGATTCTGGATTCTGCCAATCGGATTCTAGACGGGAGTGAAAAAAAATGATGTTAGACAGAAGTCTTCCTACATCGCAACTTTGAGAGTAAAGCTAGCCTAACCTTGCTTCAGAACAACTATTTAAAACGAGCAGTTTCAATGCAGCGAGAAACGCACAGAACATGGTTCACCAAATTTTGTTTTAAAACATATCAATTTCTTTGAATATTGATTTTTTCAATCACAGTCTTCTTATTTATATAAAAAATTATTTGCTCTTCATGCCTTAATTGAAGTGTCCAACATCAATTCACACGTTATGGAGGAAGAAGTATGTTAAAAATGCATGGACAATTTAATTTTAGTCAAAATAATATTACAAGACTTCTGGAAAGTACATGAAATGAAATCCTTTGCATCCCAAATGCGAGTTTCTTGAAGATGTACGGAATTTGAAATTATTAAATTATTGACTTAATTATCGATGTTATAACGACCTTTGTTCCTATTTTTCGCATTCAGAAGGAAATGGAGCCATTTTTACGATCAATTTTACTGATTTACCCGTAAGATTTCTCGGAAATTATCATTAGAACAAGCATATTTAATGGAATTGTTGGTCTTCAGATTGTTCAGTTTACGTAATTAGATTTTCCTAACGCCATTTTAATTAAATGAAACAATTCAAAGATATACTCGTCGGTAGAATTCGCTCCCTTTCTCACAGATACTCTGAGGAGGGAAAAACAAACACATCGATGGTCCATAATTATGTATTAAATTTAATCAAACAGCCAGGAAGCTCTGAAAATTGCCGACATTAATCTATTTGGAAACCTTTGGTCAAATCCTCAAACTTTTAATGTGGAAACCTGGAATAGCGGGCGCAAAACGTTGAAAAACTGTGAAAAACTAAAAAATGACTCAATTCCTTGTCTCTATTCCCTTCAACTCACCCCCTCCTCCCTCTCCCCCACTCACCCTATTTTTTCTGTTTACCGAATCGGGCTGACTTGTTCCCGAATGATAATGAATATGACTGTAAGTCTATCTATTTATAGATAGTAGGTAGCATGTGAATTAGAAAATAAGATGTAATAGAACAACGGATAATAAATGCGGCTTTAGAGATTCGCCTTCTGCATTTCGACATTTTTGCACATTTTAATTTAGTTCTGAAGGTTATTGAATAATAACTTCCTACACTTAGGAGTTGTCTTTAGGTTAGTGTGATTGAAAGGTTTATCAAATCGTCCTTTTTGCGTATTGATTTAAGGGCACATCTGAACTCTACATCGCACCAATTTTTCAGCGGATCTATCTGCCTAAGTGATGCATATGGACTGTCTTTGTAGTTCCACACAAGCACGCCTGCCATTTATCTGCAGGGGGCATCTCCGGATCCCTCCACTCTCGCATCACCTTGACATTCTCGTTTGAACTCTCGTCGTAAATAGACATAGGTTTACTCTCAACTCTTGTTCTTCTATATCTTTGGGCTTTAGATAGCTTTTAACTTCCAGTAATAGTCTAAGCTTTAGTTAGTTGTTAACTTAACACCATTTCCTCATTTTATTATGCAGATTTGTACAATTTGTATGAAAGAATACATCTAGTAATGCGAAACAAGTCGTTAAGTGTCCAATTTCATTATGGAAGGAATGCTGAAACAGTGGGACTCATGTACGTTCAAGTAACGGTAAGTAATAATCAATGAATACTTTCCTCTTGGATTCATCTATCATTTCCATCTCATTTTTTTCCACGAGCAGTGTTCGGTTAATTTTTTGTTTCAGAGGTAAATAAAGAGCAGTATTTTTCCTCAATGTGTCTCTTCGGCGCATTCGCCAAATTTTATCATTAAAAGTAAATGCCACTGGAATGACAATTTGTCAACTTCCCATTCCTTGGAATCAAAACCTGATCTATAATCGACGCATTTTGAAAGTAACTTCATTGGCAATTGGTATTCTGAAAAACGCGGCCTTTTCTCTGAAACGCAAGGGTACTTTATAGTACTTTTAAATTAAGTGCATTTAATTAAATTATTGGGCTATTGCTATATGCTGTTCGTCCTCGTGATTACTCTCCTAATTAGTGTTAGGTTGTTAAAGTAAACAATATACATATTGTAAACTCAAGGACCTAAATGGTATTAATAATTTTGTGGGTAAATTCAATTGCATGTAATGGGGTTTACCTAAGAGATTGCAATGTTATGGAAAATGGAACAATAACCACTCAGAAAAGTCAGTCATGGCCAAGTTGAGCCTCACAGTTAGAGCTGAAGTTCTCTGGGAAGGAAAGCATCCAACCACTTATCGACGCTCAATTTTCAAATCAAATTTTCCAAATTATAGAAAACTGGAGAACGATTGGTTAATGTGTGTCAATAGGAAAAGGGACTGCTTTTGTTATGCAGCTCAGAAGTAGAGAGTGCTTTTTCAAAACTTACTTAGTTCTCCAAATTCATGACATTGACCGCTACAACCATATGGAGAGATCCTTTAATATTTCATAGTGACATTACACTTATCATCATACACCGCAACTCAGGGTTAAAGTGAAGAATTTTGAGACTATAGGATGCTGTTAGCTCTATTAAACTACCAGTCAAATAGTTAAAAAGAACCCCGAACCTAAGAAACATTTATTTATTTATTTATTTATATCAAATGGCAGGCGTCTTGATGGTTATCATTAGCCCTTTAGTTGACTTCAGACTTCACAGAGGGGAAGGAACATCAAATTGAAAAAAGTCGAGAGGGGGGGATAGGGAAGAGAAGAGTGTTTCAAAGATGTAAGAGGCAAACACAAAGGTAGAAAAAAAGATGAGGTGAGTACTGTGGAAGTAGTCGAATATGGCATAGAGTGAGGTGATGGCTGTTTGAAGTGAGAAGTCAACTGCCAGTTAATAGACTTTTTTGCCGTATGAATATACGTTGCCCAGGGTGCACCACGTGGAGGTAAGTCTATCGCACACCCCACCTAAGAAACAT